CTTTGATATTGATCTTAGCAAAGATTTTGTGGATATGAGACCCACAACACAAGCAACAAAAGTAAAAATAAACCAGTGGAATTACATCAAACTAAAAAGCCTTCTGCATGGCAAAAGAAAAGCAGCTCACAGAATGGGAGAAATATTTGCAAACCACATATTTGATAAAGGGTTAATATCCAATATATATAAGGAACTCACACAACTCAATAGCAAAAAACAAAAACAAAAACAAAACCCAAACAATTCAATTAAAAAACTGTCAAAGCATCTGAATAGTTTTTCCAAAGAAGACATTCAAATGGTCAACAGCTTCATGAAAAGATGCTCAACATCACTACTCATCAGGGAAGTGCAAATCAAAACCATAATGAGATATCACATTGCACTTGTTAGAATGGCTATCAAAAAGACATAACATATGCTGTCGAGAATGTGGGGAAAATGTAACCCTTGGTGGGTATGTAAATTGGTATAGCCACTATAAAAAACAACATTGGAGGTTCTTCAGAAAATTAAAAATATAACTACCAATTCCATTTCTGGTATATATCTGAAGGAAATGAAATCAGTATCTTGAAGAGCTATCTGTATCCCCATGTTCACTGCAGCATTATTTATAATAGCCAAGAATGGAAACAACCTAAATGTTGATTGATTGATAAATGGACAAAGAAAATGTGCTAAATATGTACAATGGAATATTATTCCGCCATAAAAAGAAATCTTGCCATTTGTGATAACGTGGATGAATCTTGAAGTCATCATACTAAGTGAAATAAGTGAGATGAAGAAAGACAAATACTATATGATCTCACTTACAGTGTAATCTAAAAAAAAACAAACTCATAGAAAGAGAAGAGATTGGTGGTTGCCAGGTACAAGGGGAGACCGGGGAAATGGCTAAAGGTGGTCAAAAGGTACAAACTTTCAGTTATAAGATGAATAAGTTCTGGGGACAATGTACATCATGATGACTTTAGTTAACAGAACTATGTTCTACCACTGAAAGTTGCTAAGAGGTTTCAAGAATTTTTACCCCACACAAAAAAATTTTAACTATATGAAATGATAGATATGCTAACTCTATTGTTAGTCATTTTGCATTATATACCTATATCAAATCATTACATTACCTTAACATACACAATCTTATATATGTTATACCTCAGTAAAGCTGGGAGAAAAGAAAGCAAAAATTTTATTATTTACATGAAATGTTCTTTTCTACTTAATTTTTTTTTTCAGTTCCTTCACACAGGCCTCTTGAGAATAGCTGTTCCTAACAGAAGATAGAGTTAACTAAAAATCAGCAGATGTCACTCCCTAACTGATCCTTCTCAACTGTCCTTCTCTGTTAATTTCAGTTGGTTATTTTTTTCTGCAAATTTCAACTGCCTTTCCTCCATTACCAATTTCATTTTCCATTTTCAACCTCTGTTGAGCCTCCAAGAACTAATATTTTTCACTTTGCCTATAATATGTATTTTTTTTATATAATGCTTTCTTTTTGAATGCGAGCCTCAATGCAAAAATCTGTATGTTTTACAGTAGCCACATGGAACATTTTTCTATTCTGTGGCTATGCCTTTGCAACAGAGACATACCTGTTATTATCTCATTATTTTTTTTTTTTTCTGACGAAAGGCACAGTTTTAGTTCATGGAACAAGCACTTGTTAGAATTTGCTACTCTTTCAACAACATTGAGCAAATATTGTCTACCATGTACCAAGCACTGTTGTGGAGATTTAGCAGTTATAAAATAGATAGAAAGTATTGTTTTCATGGCTCTTATATTCTACACAGAGAGAACAAAATATAATAGGTTGCATGATGATAGGTGCTCTGGAAAAAAAAAAAGTGGGCTAGAGAGTAGAGAACACATAGTGGTTCCTTGCAGTTTTAAAAAGAGTTTTCAGAAAAGCTGTCATCATGAAGGTGGTGACATCTGAGAAAAGGACCTGATGGAAACGGGGAGAAAGCCTTGTGGATATCTGGGTCAAGAACTTTTGCAGAGGGAACACCTAGTGCAAAGGTGCACGTAGGCTGTCACAAGCAGTAAGGAGTTTTACTGTAAGCATCTGCCAGGGACAAAAATTCAGGCAAGGCTTTTTTTGTTGTTGCTATAAAGACTCCACCTACATGAGAGCTTAATAAGCTTAAGATGAACATCAGTGCAGATCTGTTTAGTGTTCTCTCTCAGCCATGACCTCATTGTTAATACTGACAGCCTGGACTGCCTCTTAGATTTGGATGGGCCTTGGATGAACAGCCTGGCAAACCTGGATGAAATCAGAAGAGAGGGTTATGGTAGCTCTGTAGACCCCATGATTCTCATTTCATTCTGTCTCCACATGAGGCTGCATATTAATCATATGTAGCCAATGATTCCAAGTTTTCATTTAAACCTAAAATATAGTCTATTATCATATATGAACTAAGAAGTATAATGTAATTCTACCTCAGATTAGCTAATGGTGAATTCTTGTCCCATAGACAGATAAGACAAAGGGCTACTGAGACAAAAGTATTTCTTATGCCACCAAATTGTGCTTTTGATGTTGTCTTCGTCTAGTCAGGACAACACATTAAAGAGGTCATTGCTATCATTGAGTCTTATGTAGAACTTCCAGAGACTGTTACACTTATATTCAACAAACAGATAGTCTGCACTGGGCCTATCTATCCCATAGCCCCTACCTCCTTCTAATCTAAGTGGTTTCCGATTTACTGAGGAAAACATTTTCCTAAACCTTCTGTTGTCACCTTGGAGCCTACTCCTATCCTTAATAAGAATAAAATACTATTAAGAACTCAATAGATGAACATTTGAAAGCAGTGGGTTTAGTTTATTTCAGCTTATCTTTGATTTGTTTGGAAACTAAATTCCTTACACGTGAAGATCAGTACTTATTTTATGAGCATAAAGGTTTAAGAGAAAAACCAAGATTTCTTTAGCAAAGGTAACTGAATATCCAAATAGGGTCATCGTGACTTATGAATAACCGAAAATAATATTTTATCATCATACCAGTTCTATGTTGGTCATTTAGATTCAGTTTAGATGTTTGATTTAAGTTGGCTATGGTAGATTTGAACAAACACAGAAAGCCTTTAAACTATGGCCAGGTATGTTGTTTTAAATCCAAATCAAGTATTGAACACTCTGACTGTAGCTTGATATAAATTTAGAATTATCATAATGTGTTCAGGTTGTTCCATATTTATATTTATATAAAAATGTCCAGAGATGATATTTCTATAATGAAACAATAATGTAATCAAATCAACAACTTAGAAATTTACCAGCATTTTTTTTTTACCTTTCCATATTTTAATCTGTCAAAATTCTTGTTCATAAGCTGAAAAAGTCATTGGAAAGAAGCAAGCCATTTATCATTCTTCTTTCCCATGGAAAAATGCAATTTCCTAATTAACAATGAATCTTTAATTTCAGATGGAAGAAACAACACAATAGATCAATTATACCAAGTTTGAAAGAGCAAGGTCTTTCTTCTATTTATAATTACACTATGTTATTCTGGAAAGCAAAAAATATATATATATAGTGGGCTGTCTTCACTTATAAACATTTTTTTTTTTTAACTAAAGGGGCCTTATCTCACAGATGAGATTCATGGACTGTTGTAAATACTCTACAAGTATGTATTCCACAGCCTTAAACTGTGATGTGCTAGAGCAGAGGGCTTACTCAAAACCTCGAGTTAGTCCACCTGGGTTAGATTCTTAGCTACCCACTTACTAGCTGAGTAATCTCAGGCAAGACATTTAGCTTTTTTCTGCTTCAGCTGATAACACAGTATGGCTAATAATAGTATCTATTTGTGGATTATAGAAGGACAGAATGAGCTAACACATAAAAGTTCTCAGAATAGTTACTGGTGCACGGTGAACGTTCATTAGATGTCAGTTATTCTAGTGTGGGACAAAGTGAGGAACTATCACTTGTCTTAATAGTATGAAGTACTGGATGTAATTTTAATATTTGTATTGGGATTCATCCACGTTTTACAGAACCTAGTATGCTTTCTGGTCTGAGGGCTCAAGCAAGCAGAGAGGGATGGCTTTTCTAAGTGAAACTGATCCCTGCACATAGTACCCGAAATCAGAGGAAGCTTGTCAGTGTGACACAAGAGTAGACCAATGTGACTTCCCACTTCTCTCTTTTTTTTTTATCTCAAAGAAATTAATAATGTAGACCCTTAAATTAATTGTTTCTGCTTAATTTAAGGTTTAAACCCTTGGTTTGCTGTGCAGTAAACTTAGGTTTTTTGATAGTTACCCAAAATCTTTCTATCTCTTCGTTTCACTGCAGAATAAAAACTAAATTTACCGCAGCGGATTGGTATTATTAAGTTGGGCATTATTTCTCCCAAGAGGCCATCTACCTTGGGGAAAGGCAACAGGGTGCTCTCCATTAATATATCTGATGGTGTAATGATGTACCACCCCTGCAATTCAGAGTTACGGTCTCAGAACAAAAGATCTGATCATCTCATCTTACTGCATAACTACAAATGTTAGGCTAGGCTGTGAGAGTATCAGCCCATCGCGCGATCCAGTTTCCAGACATTGCTTCTGATGGCCTAAAGTTCTTTTGATCAATTAGTCTACTTGCCACAAAAATTCAGATTAATAAAATTAGAAGGAGAAGGGATGGATTCATCTGGTTCCAACTCCAAAACACCCCACCAGAACAGGTGTACTTGCAAGGTAAAGTTTGCTTTAAGTGTTCTCTGTCTCAAATTGTACAATCGGCCCGGGACGGTGGAACTCTCTCAACCTGCTTACCGGGTCGTGCGCGTGTCTGCGGGTGCCGAGGCACGCGCACACACACTGGGACCCACTTTCCTAAGCCAACCCAATCAAAGTCTCGCTCTCACCTCGAGGGCTGTCAACTCTCACGCCCCTCCCTACGCGCTCAGCCCCCTCCTCACTCTTCCACCCCTCACGCTCCGCCTCCAAAGTAGGACTCACCACTTTCATTGGTAGGCACTCCTCTCACTCCTATCCTGGAACCAATCACTCGCATTCTGGTGGAGAGCGGCGGAGCCAATGGGAATACTCGTTGCGGCAGCTGCCGGGTCCCGAGCACCGGGAGGCGGTGCCGGGGGCTGGGTGCCGGTGGGGGATTAGTTGCCGTTTGGAGTGAGAAGCGGGCAGAGGCGGCGGCGGTGGCGGTGGCGTTGGCGGTGGCGCGGGATCCGCGGAGAACCAGAAACCTCAAGGCCCTTACTCCCTGACCGGTCCCCAGAAGCAGGAGTCCCGGCCCTCCCTGCAGCTGCCGCGTTCTCCCGCGCGTGCAGCCCCGCCTGGCTGCGAGCGGCCCCCGGGGCTACGTGATCCGGACGGTTGCCCCTCTCCCCTGTCAGCGCGATGCCCGGGGCGGCGGCGGCTCTGGGCTCCTCGCGGTCCCGGCCGTGACCACCACACGGAGCCCGACCAGGCGGTTGGGGCCGTTAGACGTTTGTTTTCGCAGGCTTCCCCTCCCCCCTCCCCCCTCGCCGAGGCGGCTGGGGTGCGCGTTGGGAAGGGGGAGCCGACAGACTCCTCCCCCTCCTCGATACCCCCGCCCCTCCCCCTTACACACTCGCGACAGGTGGTCCAAGTTGGAATCCTCATGCAGCCACTGCTTGTGTGACATTAGGTAAGTGATTATGCTCTGTGTCTCACTTTCCTCACGTGGAAAATGGATATTATATCAAGAGTACCCACTACAGCATTATTATAAGAAGTGTGTTAACATTAGTCAAGCATCTAGCACAATGCTCGTAACATGGCAGGCATCATATAAATGCTGTTTAGATTTTTGAAATATCCTTTGGTTTGCATGATAAAAATACTATTTAATTACTTGCATTATAGCATGGTATTTTGGAGACGTTTTCACATGAGGATTGACGGAGTTATCTCAGCATTTTAGTATTGTTGCAATACTTGACTATACTAAAGTTTCTTGAACTTGTTTCTTCCTCATTGGTCATTTGTGTTTTTCATGTTACCCCCGAGAGCCACCGGAGGAGCAACTCACCTGAGAGAAGGAGCCCCGGCTCGCCTGTGTGCAGAGGTAGCGAGCCCAACCCTTCCGTCCTCCCGGGCTGCGTCTCCCCGACGGTGCCCTCCGCGGAAACTTCAGCCTCTCCGGGCTTCTCTTTGCTAGTGCATTATCGAAGGTGTGAAAGTGGCTTTGGGAATCTCACCCCACCCCCTACGGTCGCTGCGGGGCTTGGAGGAGCGAACTGCACAGCAACTTTTATTTGACCCTTCTGCCGCCCCTCAGATTTTATCTTTCATCACTCACCTGCGTGGAAAGGTTTTTCAGTTTAAGAGCTGATAAGCTCATTCATGTGTTTGCCGTTTGTAGCGGGGGAAGGAGGAGATGGGCGAAACACTTTAATAAACAAGCACACTAACTCTCCGGCAGCGTATAAGGTGGTGGTTGTAATCTCTACAGCCTCTTTGTGCTTTCCTTCAAAGTTCCTAATGCCTGTGACTACCGGGATACTTTTTTTTTTCCCCCCCTTTTTTGGAGGGGTGGTGACATTAGTTACGATGTAAGGATACTTCTCGGGTGTGTAGAGGGGACAATTTTGGATGTGCAATTCAAGTGTATAGTGTTTTGCTTTTTTTTTTTATCGTTTCTACTTACATAGTCATATGTATCAGAACTATTTGTGAAGTGCACACTTTTTCCATTTTTAAGTACACTTAACAGTTCGATTCAGCTGTTTAGAGGATCTCAAGTTTCTTTTTTGTTAAGTGTCAAAGGTAATGGGGAGCTGGTGGATGCTGACAGCTTTCCTTAATGTTTTCTGTTTTGGTTTGGTTTTGTTTATGTCTAGGGACACAGTGCATGATCTAGTTGAGTCCTTGGGGAGAAAAGGAAGATTAGCCAAAACAGGGACTTAAAGCTCAAAGCTCATAAGGGAGAGCGGAGTAGCTAATATTATTAGATACCAGGCTAGAGCTACAGATGCTGCTGCTGCCGCTGCCGCCGCTGCTTCTGCTGCACTGTGGAGAGAACAGATCATTCTGAGTGGAAAAATCTCTGCTTGGAAGGGAAACACTGTGGAGCTCTGTACAATGTTTATGTGGTATGTGGAATTTTTTTAAATGGAGTTTTCTTGATGAAGGTCTTAGACTTGGAGAAAATTGTTGTGTTATGATAGATTACAGTCTTGGTGTTTTTGTTTTAATATTTCTGACCTGTAATTGGCATGTTGCTAAGGCATTTGTTTTCAGACCACTTGATGGTGAGGCAAGGTAGACTGTAGTGCAGTGGTATGTGTACATGAACACCAAGAAATACATCCAGTAATCTGTATGCACCAGGAGGAATTTGTTCCCCCACTCCTCCCCCAGGTCAAGCCAGCTGCTGCAGAAACTGACATCCTCCAGCAAATCCTGAATGAATGAATGAAAACAACGTGATCGCCCTAATAATGACCACCACTGAACACACATCTTTGGCTGTATTTTATAGAAAAGGCCACCATTTTCTAACAGATTAATGCCATATGCAACTCCCTTGCACATTTTCTTGAGCTATATGAAATGAGAGGTAACAACGAAAAGAAGGCAGCACTGACATAAATTTTTCAGTGATTTAGTATCAACAGTATGTAGATTGAGTTTTGGGATTTTCCTTTAGGGACTAATATATGCGCCGTGAAGTAAGCATTGCAGGCAGATTGTGTACACAGGGTTTTGTGGGCAGAGTAAGAGTAGTTTCGGCAATTGCTACAACAATATAATGGCCATCTAGTACCTCCTCTTTTGTTGATAAACACTAGCATCTTACAACAGATGATAGTACAACTTGTTTTTCTGCATCCTTCAAGAGCCTTAATTGCTTAGGAATTACATGTCCATCATCAAGTAGTTTTAATGAAATTTGTGATCAGGTTTAAACTGTTCTCTTTGTTATAGCATCGCACATCTAAATTTAATGCAATTTTAATGCAATCATGATGAAAACACTTTTCTGAGTCTGGTGGTGCGGTAAACAGATTTGCATCATCAGAGAGCTTGTACTGGGAATGGAGGAGGCCTTTCTGCTGTCTTTAACACCAGGTGGTTTTGTCAGTTTCTTACATTGAAGTGATTTTGAATGCAGACTCTTGACCCCAGTTGCCTGACCATATTACCTTTATGTTACTTCACATCCCGCCCTGCTAGAGACCTACCCAAATTAAAACTATAGAACTATTCTGTTCTGTTTAGTCAGTCATTTAAAATTCATACTATGAACAGTTGAACAATTTTTCAAATGATAATCTATTCAGTCTCTTGAATTCTGCAAGGTTCTGACTTCAGTGGATTTTAGTCTCCACAGGTCAAGACTCCTGCCGCTGCCTCTGCTGCTGCAGACACTGACATCACTATACTGCATGAATGAAAAACAACAACGTGCTCCATTTCTTGCTCTCCACCTTCCTTTTCTGCACAGTCGTGTGTGTGTGTGTGTGTGTGTGTGTGTTTAAGATAGTGTTATGCTGCATATGAAACTACATTAAAAATGTTAAGTAGCTGGTGGCTTGAGGGATGTGTATTTAGTGTAGAGGCATATTGTTTACAAAAAGCTAAGTGCTATGAGCATTTGGACTAGAGATGACATAACAGCATTCAGTATTTTTTATCTGGACTGATGGTTATGGAAGAAAATACAGAAGCTTTCGACAGTTTTCTTTGGAAGTGTTTTACCAAAAAGAAATTATGAAACAAAATAATTTCTAAGCATGTTTATTAAATCATTATTATCTCCCTCTTAAACATTAATATGCATATTTACAGGGTTAAAGCTAAAAGTAATAAAGAAATGGTACTCATATTATTTCAGAAGGTTGAGGAAAAGCTGAATTCTTTAGATGCTATCAAATAATACGATATTAATTTATAAAATCCAGCAAGAAGATGGTAATTTCCTTTATTTTGTAGCACAGTTTCAGATAATTTAAATGGGTATCATAATAGAGATACATAAATCTCTGAACATCTTCAGTGGAGAGGACCTGGAGTTTTACAGATTGAAACTATATTGTTTATGCATATGGATCATATTTTTCTTTGTATTTTAATTTTTTTTTTTAAACTTGGAGGTTTTTTATATTCATTTCTTTACTTCTGCCATTAGCAAAATGTCATTCTCCCCCTTGTTAGGTTTTGAAGGGTCTTGAAGTTGTGAATGACAAGCTGCTGAATGCATCCTCAGGCTCCCTGTGATGTGTTTGTAATAGATGTAAAATCATAAAGTATTATGCAAATAGTTATTTTTTGTAATGTTAATACATAAAATGTACCTTTGAGATAAATAAAACAACTCAAATGAGGATATAGCAGGATGTTAGTGTTAAAATTAATGATCTTTAAGCTAAAATGATAAATGACAACCAAAATAAAATGAAGTTGCTCCTTTTTGAAATCTCATACAACAAAATCTATGGATTTTAAAACAGAACAAATACAATTTTTACTGTGTAAGATAGTAAGCAGCAATTGCAAATCCTCTGGTAGTTTTGTTGTAAAGATTGAGCATTAGAATGAATTATAAATTCAAAAGATATAAAAATAGTTGTATTAGAATACTCTGGAGGGAGAACACTGCTTATTTTGAAGCGTACCAAATCTAATTAAAAACATGGAATCGTAATTTATATAGTTCCTGCTATGTAAAATAGTATGCGTTGATTTCTGATTTAATGTAACAAATATTTAGACCCAATATTCTAAAAGATTACTAACTCTAGAGAGAAATTTGATTAGACTTTTTCATGAGTACCTTGAGAGCCTTATTGTTTAATACATTAAGAAGGTAAAGAAAAAAGCCAGCCAGCATATAACGTTGAATGACTGCATGCAATGTGCATGTGTCTGTGTGTTTTAATCAATTAATTTGCTTTCAGTTTTTTATCACTTCATTAAATATCCCTTTTTGAGTCATTTTATGCTGTGCTCAGTTTGTGGAATGCCAACATTCTTAATTACATTTTCTCTTTTAAAAAGATACATTCTCTTCCTATAAAGTTACTTTTCAGGTGGCTATTCTTGGGAATTAAGGTCCTCTCCCTGTCCCTGCCTTAAGATTAATTTTCTTAGAGTGCTTAGAGGAACTTGTTTTAAAGCTTTCTTGTACTAGAGTGAAAATAGTTCAAGTTTTGGCTTCTTTTTTTTCCTAGAGTGGCAGGTTTCAAATACTGTTTTTTTGGGGGAAAGTTTGTCAGCCTTTGAGAACTACACTCAGTATCAACAACATTCATTATTAATGTAATTTTTCTTACCAATTATGGTGCATAAAGTTTCTAGATCAGTGGGTGAATAGCCAAATAGATAAGTTAATTTATAGCTTATATATTCTTAAACTATTGTTTCATGTTCAAAGATTATATACCTCTCAAATAACTGTTACTCTAAACATATTGAATGTCATATACCTAAGGTATGTAAAAGCACCTAGCTGTATATAAAGTTTTGTGTGTTTATATTGAACTAAAACGATTCCGTTATTTACAATAAATACTTTTTACAGAAGGACATTTCATTTACTATAGTATACATTTCATCAGGGGTTTAATGCAAATTAGATTTATACATTGGAGAAATGTTGAAAAGTAATGTCATCCTTGTGATTTTTATTTTATTTGTGATAACGTGGACTAAATGTTAATTAGAAAACAAAGGAATAATTGGTCTCCATATCAATGAATAGGAATGGAAATAAATGGTGGTGTTCACCAGTAGCTAATAGTTTTTCTTAAATTAGTAAAGAAAATTTTAAAGCCTGTTTTATCAAAACTTTCACACATAGTTAATAATCTGTTGAAGAGTATATACTAATGACTTTGTTATTCTTAATTTTAATTCAGTCTTTTCTTCAGAGCTTAAAATTCCCAGACACCACCAAGATAGGCTTTTCCACAGCACCTGTCCTGGGTCTGTGCCTGGCCCTGTTGCCTTTTGTTTTCAATATATAATTTTGTTCTCTTATTAAATTTCAAAGAAACCAAATCACTCATTCTGTTTCTGTCCTATATGTTGCTTATTTTAACAAGAGGTTGAGCTTATCTGATG